TGGAACGTTTGCTTTTCGATCTCTTTCGATGAACTTGAAAATATAAGTTATTATCGCTGAGAATCCTTTCCGAAATAGGAGCTTTACGTTTAGGAGGATTGTCGGATGAATTTTGTTTTTTATTGTTTGATTTTGTTGTTATGGAAGATTTTTTTTATTTTTTTCAGAATTTTGCTTGCTATTAACTGAAACTTGTTTTGACGGCCCAACAATAGCATTTGTAGTAGGAAGAATTCCCAATAACGAGCGCATTTTCGATAATTGTTTTTCAATATGATCAAGAAGGTCCAGCTTATGTTCTAGATTACTAGACATTTGATTTGTAGAAGGATGGTTTTGATTTTCTGGTTCTAAATCTGTAGAGTCTGCAATATTTGAATTTTCGGAGCGAATTGGAGCATCTGAACCTTGATTTGTATCGGCTTGCTCAAAATTAGTTTGAATTGGAGTGGATGAATTAAAATCTGGATGATTTAATGTTTCATTAAATAATGCCATAATTTTTTCTCTTTTTTCATTAATAAACTTAGTGATCATTGTATCTTTATCTGTTAGATCGATCGATTTGAGTATATCTGCATCATGAACTGGAATATTTTCGAACAATGAACTCGATTCTATGGAACCATATGGAGAAATCTCGTTCTGAGCCAAAGAAAGATCACTTACGTTGTATTGTTTGATAGAAAAAATTGTTTTCTCAAGTTCTTTTTGAAAGCAGTCAAGAATATAATTTTTGTAGCTATCAGTGATAACGGTTTTTATATGGCGCTCGATCTTCTGGTTATTTTTGATGGCGTTATATTTATCTAATTGGATTTGAGATATCTTCTTAATAGCTTCATAAATGTTTGGATGTTTTAACGAAGAAAATTCTGAATGCATACTCTCGAGGCAATCATTAGTGAATATTGCAGTTGCATTATTATATTGAGATATTAAATTGTAGTGCGGCAACCAAACTTTGTTGAAATAATCAATATAATCTTTGATCGAATCAACTTTATTTTGATTAATTATATGCATTGTAAGTACAAATTCTTCATGAGACATGAATGGAGTAATAGAATATAGCTTAAATAAAGAATTTTGTAAAGTATTGAAATTTTTTGTATAAAGTGCTACAAGTTTCCTGTGTAAAGCTTGTTTGAAATGAAATAGGCATCCAATTATACGGACTTTAGGGAAAATTTGTTGAAGTGCCTCTATCATTCCCTTTTCAAAATCACAATGAATTTGAATTAGCTTTGAAAATTGAATACCCTTGACAGTAAAAATATATTCAAATGCCTTCTTATAAGATTCAAATGTGCGGTTTTTCATGAATATAAATAAAAGTGGTAGATATTGATTTGTTGAAGGTTCACAAATCATAATTGTTAGCATCTGTCCTTTTTGAAAATGTTTTGGTGTAATTTTAAAAGTTCCATCGCAAAATAAATCTGTGGCTTCTTTTGCAAATTGAATTGCCTTCTCAAAACCAAAAAACATCGTCTCACAATTTGCTTGAAAATCATGGCCAATGAAAAACTGCTCGCCATTTATTAAACAAAAATTAGCAATTTCATCGTCTGTAATTTTTTCTCCAACAGAAAATTTTCTGGACTTATTATAAACTTCCCTGACCAATGAATCTTTAATTAATGGGTTTTCATCAGTACCAACAGCAAGTTCTGTCATAAATTTTTTAATCTGCTGAAAAGTGCCGTTGTCTTCAGAAAATTTTGCCATTGCCTTATTGTATATTTCTGTCAGAGTCATTGATTTATGAAGATCATTTTTTTCATTTTGTAACTTTTTAAATTGTCTGCATTCGGGTATATGTTCCTTTTGTAAATCTTCGGAAACTGAACTGTTCTCAATTTTAACTAAATAACGTGCTTGACAAGAATGATCGATGCAACGGTAGTAACGTTCAATATTATTTGAATTAATAATATTTGTATGATCATGCGAATAAAGCATATCTTTGCGAACAATTGTATCAGGATATTTTCCAGTAACTGCGGGAATATTTTTAACTGCAATATAACTAAAATATCTTCTGACAGCTTTAGATTCATTTTCGGCGTATTTAATATTAAAATATTGAAGAACTTGTTTGATTATATTCGTTTTTTCATCTCTCGATGTTGATTTTTGGTATTTATCAGATTGTTCCCTGATAAATATTTTATTTTCGTCTGTAAAGTTTGCTCTTTTTTGATTAAATATAGATGATTTTCCCATTAAAAAATGAAATGATGCAAAATTTACGAAAACCGTTCGAAAATTGAATCAAAAATGAAAAGTAATACTTAAATGAGAATTCTTTGAGATATTGGTCTTAGATTGAATGTAGCGTCATTCTTATATAGAATATATATTCATATCATCGGAAATATGATAAAAAGCATATAATAAATGTCAAAAAAGTGAACAAATAAGCAAAGATATTTTTTAAAAAACAATGAAAAGTAATACTTAAATGAGAATTCTTTGAGATATTGGTCTTAGATTGAATGTAGCGTCATTCTTATATAGAATATATATTCATATCATCGGAAATATGATAAAAAGCATATAATAAATGTCAAAAAAGTGAACAAATAAGCAAAGATATTTTTTAAAAAACAATGAAAAGTAATACTTAAATGAGGAATTCTTTGAGATATTGGTCTTAGATTGAATGTAGCGTCACAAATTTCACAAATATAATTTACTATACAATTTTATTCATTTTTTTAAAATGGCTGACGACAGTCTGTATCAACTAACTCAACTAGTCAAGCATAATGATTATTCTTCGGATTCATTAAATCAACTTTATCAATGCATAAGTACAATGACAGAAAGATCAATTGGATGCTTGAATTGGGATAAATTTTTCAAAAAAATCACAGTGACTGATGAAGTTCTTTTACATTTTTTAGCATCCGTTTTAAACATTGAAAAGATATCAGAATGTTTCAAGGATTCTATTTTTTATCACAATATTAATCTTGAAAAATTCAGTAATTTAACTGAAACAGAACAACAAACAATTTTAAATTCCTACAAAGCGGATAAATTTACATATTACATAATGTGCTCACAAATTGTAAAATCAAACTGGAACAATTTATCCCAAACTTTAGTTAATATTGCAAATCAATATTTGCCATTTTTAGATGAAGAAAAGCAAATATATATATTTACTGAAATAACTGGCAATTATCAAAATTTTGAAATTTCAGTTGCAAACTTGTTACTTTTTTATGAAAACAATGAAGAAAAATTAAGCAACTGTTTTAATTTAACATTGTTCCAGCAAATTTATTCCAAAAATGGAATCGAGCAAATGATATTTTTTGCTGCAAATACAATTTGTTGCAATAACACTTCTATCAATTTTTACAATCTCCTTGAAATTGAAGAAATGAATCCATTTGATTTTTTTTATTTCTCAATTCAATATAAAGAGATATTAAATTGCGATGATTTTCCAAAAGTTACAGAAGTAATCACAGGTTTAATCTCAGCTTCAAATATTAATGCTATTATGCGAATTTGCCAAAAAATTTTGGATAAAATTACATTTTATAAATGTAATTATTGCCATATTACCTCAATATGGAATTTTATCACAAATGCAGCAATAATTCTTCCTGATGAAGATTTATTAATCAAATTATTAAAATTCATAGAAAAAACAGAAAAAGCAACAGATGAATTATTCGAACCGGAGAATGATTTGGGTTTCTATGAATATTTAAATTCGATTTTCTCAGATATTACATCTGCGAGAAATAAGCAATTTCTCTTGGAATTTCTAAATACCCATGAAGATGACTTCACTTATGATCAAACATTGTGAGGTCATTTTTGATCAACAAATTAATTGAAATTCCGATCAAAAAAAATTCACAAATTGGATCAAAAAAATCGAATCTCAAGTTAAAAATAAAAAATTTCTACATTTTTATCAAATTTAGATTTTTTTTTCAAATCATGCGAATTGATTGAATAATTGCATATTTTATCCCATGCATCTAGAAGTATGTGTAATATTTTTGCTTTCATCAAGAAATTGTCGAATTTGATCTTAATTTTTTTTGAAAAATATACTTTTAGAAAAAGAAATAGTGATTGAATAGCTGCCCATGCTGTAAAAGGGTTATTTTTACAAGTAAAAAAATTGTTATTTTTCGAGCAAGTCGAGGCTTTTTTACCATCTTATTTTTGAAAAATTTACGAAAAATTATATCTGAAAAAACGCTTCATTTTGATATCTTACAATGATAAAATACCAATGTTGCTGGGATATAATAGCTACACCTGGACATCTACTACATTAATGCGTATGACAGGTAAAGTTGATTTCAAAAGTATAGCCTGGAAAGATTACAATAAATCAACGATAATTCAAAAAAATTTCTTATAAGTTAACATAATAAAAATTTAATTTTTATATTGCTTGTATTATACTTAAGTATATAATATATTTAAATCTTAGAATGAAAATTCGGGACGCCCTAGCTATTCAATTTTCCCTTAGGACGCCCATAAACCTTTCAAAAATGTGATGTAAATATCACAATTTTGAGAAATTTACACTAGGACGCCTTAGGACGCCAACCCCCTTTTTTACCGAAAATTTGGGAATTTCAATTTCGAAATTGCAGTATTTTTCCGTTTAACAGCATTGATTCGTCATAATATGTTTAGTAAGCTTATAAAATTACCGGTGGCTTAATATACCATTGTTCAAAAGTTAATTTTGAATTAATAATGGACATTCCAATATCTTAGCTATGAGTGGTACTTTCAATAATAGAGTATTAAAGTTTCTCATCTACGAATCAATGATTTGATATCAAATTGAAGGATTTTCTTTTATTATCTCGTATTTCTTTGCTGAATTGAAAATAAAACAAGCTCCACTCATTAAGCAGTTGTTATTCATATTAGTTGAAATCCAAAAAATGAAGATATTTTTTAAAATAAGATTTCTTTTACAAACATTTTGAAAAAAATAGTAATTAAAAGATCTTTCTAGTATAATCTGTTATCATTGTAGTGATATGCTTCCTAAATCCTTCTTCATCGCCTGAAGGAAGGTGAAGATATGGAATTGGTATGTTTTTCATTTCTTTTGCTGCTTCTGGGTGTTCAATAACGAAATGTTGCCTCTCTACATTGTTAGTGATGAAATTTAAAGATACATTTCTAAAAAGATAATAAGTTTCTGATTTTGGTATATTATGTTTCTTTACACATTTATCCTGATAAGCAAGAAGCCAATTAATTAGACTTTGGCCACTACGAAGACCAAGATATGAATGATCGAGTATTTTATTGATTGTTTCGTGTGGTAAATCAGAAAATTTGTCAACAATTAAGAAATACTGAAGATACTTTGCTGCAAAATTGCAGTATGGCTCATATGGAACTTGAGAAAGATACATAATTATTTCACTAATTGTAGATACTGCTTCATAAATAATATTACTGCATTCAATGATACCGGTAGATCCGAATTCAATGCCGAGATTAATCATTTGAACTGCATTTGAAGGTGTAATTTTTATTGGTTTTCCCCAGATGTAGTCAGTTATTAGAGCGAGATTTTCTTTATTGTATTCTTCAGACAATTTGAGCATGCTAATTTGAGGATTTTCCATAAGTCTTTTGCTAATTACCGTAGAACAGAGCATTGCGTTGAGTTTAGGAACAGGATATTTATCAGGACCACATAATATAGTAAAATCTGGCTTCGTTACATTTGTATCAGCGTTAGGTAGCTTGCAAGTCAAATACATTCCTCAAAATGAAAAAAATCCAAAATTATTTCCGTGATAATACAATTATCTTTTTCAATTTTAAGAGACCAACGGAATGATTAATAAAAATTTTTTTTCTCAATAAGTAAGTCGAGGACACAATAATCCGAAAATCATTAACCGGAAACGATTTAGAAATTTGCGATCATAAACTATTCAATTTTTGAAAAGGCCGAATTTTTTCTTATGTTGAAGTATCTGGATTCGTTCCAGATCGTTATGGTCATTTATGTGACCCTTGGTGTTGGAGCCGTTTTTGGATTTATCAAGTTTTTCACCGAAGAATCAATGAAACGCGTTCGAAGGCTTTTATTTATGATTCCTATAGGGAATATGTTATTTTATGAGATAGCTACAAGTCCACTAAACAAAGATACATGGATGACGTTTCTTCATGCACTTATTATACAAGTAATTCTTCATGGTTTGGCTTATTTATACGCTTTCATTTATCATCCAAACCAAACAGTATTAGAGAAGTTTATTATTACATCCATATCTTTCACAGAATCAGATTTCTTCTGGTATGGATATCCTCTTTCTCAGATTAACCAAAGAAGTCGATAAAATAGGCAACCCATCAATATCAGATACTCCAGATGACGTCACAAAGTCAGAAAAAGCAAAAGAAAACAAAGATGAGAATTCAAACAGTTCTACGCCAGAAATCCATGTCGAGGAAGGCAAAGATGAGGTAAAACCAGAAGATGTTCCACCACCAGAACCAGAAGTACCAGCAAAACTCGGATATTCAAAATTATTCTGGTTTATTTATTCATTTGTCAACCAGCATAACATTGCAGCCATTCTTGGAATATTCTGGAGCATAGCAGTTAAGTACACAAATGTTTCTATGCCAGCTTTCCTTAAATCTTTTAATTTCGATCTTGAAAAGGCATCAATATGCGCTGGATTGTTCTGCCAAGGAACATTCATTGCTTTCCATCCATTTAAAGGCATTCCAATCCTTGATGTAATTATTTCTTTAATAATTCATTTTATTGTCAAGCCTGTTCTATCCATGGCCTTCTGCTGGGCCTTATCCATTGATAGTATTATTTCTAAGTTCCTTGTTCTCATTTATTGCGCTCCAACAGGTTTGTACGCTTATCAACTCTCGGACCAAGCTGGATACAAGACATCCATGGTCACATATTCAATGTACTGGGGAATGATTTGTGTCCTCCCTGTTTTCATGATTTGGATTGCAATTATCAATGAAACAGGAATGTTCTCTTAAGAATAATAATATATTGTCATTATGCTTTAAATGACAGCCTTATAATATAATCATAGTTTTCGCTCAATATGCAGCATTTTTTTTCGAAATCTATGGTCAATATCCTAAATACTGATTGCTTTGCATTCATATCTCTTACATTTTCTATACCCACATCACTATTCATTGCTATTCCTATCTTTTTCATTTTTGTTTGTTTCTCATAATTTCTCAAAAAACATGATAACTTGATATTTGTAAATATCATACTTTATAACGTAAATAAGAACTTGACCTATTAAGAAAAGCAGTAATGAAAAGAAAATCTGAAATTCATAAAAATTACAAGTTTCTGATGACAATTAGCTTAATTAAACCAGGTACAAGATTATATAATTGTATTTTCTATCCAATTATCCATATAATATCTTATCCAGAAAAAATAACTTGATCAATACCAAATGATTTTTTAACTAGTAAATAAAGTATTTTCTTTACACACACATTGTATATCATAGTTTTTTTTTGGTTTCGCAAAACATCCAAAAACAAATATGCTATAAAAGTGACAATTTTAGCAAAACGAAACCCTTATATATTGTCTTTTAAACATGAAATAAAACTTGTATTTTAAATAATTTTAACAAAATAAAAAAATTCACAAATAATTTTTTAGAAATCTTTAAATTCAATATGGCGAATCATACTTTTTAATGGATAGTTTTAAATTCTTTATGAATGACCAATGAACTTTGTGAAAATGCTTTGAATGAAAACATATAAACTGAATCAAACAGAAAGATTGATTTAGAACATAAAGAACAGATATGGATTCTATTGATTTCCAGAATCATGGATCTTGAAAGACTCAATTCATGTAAAAAAATGATTGTATATCTAAAAATAAACATCATACATATTTTTGTATAACTTTGGCATATATTTATTAATATGAGTCAAAGATATTAAGAATTATTTAATTGAGAATTATTTTTCTTCTTTGAAAATTTTGAGTTTTTGATATGGTGATTGGTAACCCAGCATGTAAGTTTCAACTTTTTCGAGATCCGATGACATAATTCTTAAAAAGTTGTCATTTCCAACAAAGGCTTCTCTTCCATCAGCAAGCTTGACTTTGCCTGATGTATCTGTGAAGGAAATATTTTTGGCACCATCAAAGATCTTAGCGTAATGGGTCGAGGAAGAAGAGTGCCAAGTGCAAGAAATTACAAATCTTTGAGTGTATGAATGGAACAAAGTTCTTCCATCGTCCAATTTCCAATTATGGGCATCTCTTTGTATAGTATTTTCAGTGGTTATTCTGCTACTGATATGATAGAAAAGAAGGAATAGCATTGTAAAAAATGGCAAAACTGGCAATTGACGAATGTTTTGTCGTTTTTGCCAAACAGATTCAATTAATTCAATTTATTGAATTGCATTTCTTTGATGTCCAATCTTTTATAAAAGATTGGACAATTGTTTTCCAGATTTGTTGATAATCTTTTGTTGTATCATTTCAGCAAAATGCTCATGGAGGAATCATATTTGATTATCCGATCAAAAACTTCTGGGATATCAAAAGCGATCTTGAAAATATTTCATGGAAGAATCTCTGTATTTTTTTTGTACACAAGCTTCTTTTGCCTTCCATTATTATTGATATTGATAAACTCAAATCAAGTAGATAATATTAGTAAAAAAATGATTGTAGGATTTTCAGGGTAAAATATATTGTATATCTTAAAATAAATATCATACATATTTTTGTATAACTTTGGCATATATTTATTAATATGAGTCAAAGATATTAAGAATTATTTAATTGAGAATTATTTTTCTTCTTTGAAAATTTTGAGTTTTTGATATGGTGATTGGTAACCCAGCATGTAAGTTTCAACTTTTTCGAGATCCGATGACATAATTCTTAAAAAGTTGTCATTTCCAACAAAGGCTTCTCTTCCATCAGCAAGCTTGACTTTGCCTGATGTATTTGTGAAGGAAATATTTTTGGCACCATCAAAGATCTTAGCATAATGGGTCGAGGAAGAAAACCGCATAGTGCAAGTTTGTACAGTTGTATGATTGTATGAATGGAACAAAGTTCTTCCATCGTCCAATTTCCAATTATGGGCATCTCTTCTTACAGTATCTACAGAGGTCCTTATGCTGCTGATATGAGAGAAAAGAAGGAACAGCATTGAAAAAATGGCAAAACTGGCAATTGACGAATGTTTTGTCGTTTTTGCCAATCAGATTCAATTAATTCAATTTATTGAATTACATTTCTTTGCTATTCAATAGCATATTAATGTGTTGAATATTCTAGTTTCTAAAAGAAACGTGACAATGGTATGTCACCACACTTGTAACTTGTTTTCCAAATTAGTTGATAATTTTATTGCATCATTCCAGCAAAATGTTCATTTTAGATGGATGTATTACCCAAAACAACCAGATTTGTCATTAATTTGGAAAAACAATCGTGAGAATGATCTTTGATATTTTGCTGACATGATATAATAAATCACCATATATAACATACTTAAATCAAAAATGGTAAACTCTGCCTATTTTATGGTGAATACTTTAGAATATATGCAAATAATTGAGAATAATGAAAGGCAATTTTAAATGAATAGTTCAACCGTACCTAATATCATATATACCATAACTTTTGAATGCGAATAAAAAGTTTTTTTTTTCAGTTTTCATTTTTAAAGCAATTGAATCTGAATTTCGAATACATGGCTGCTCATATCAATGATTATATTCAAAACGAAAACTTTTTCGATACATTTGAGGTCGAGGATATCGAAACAATCATGAAAGATTCTAAACTTGAAAGCAGATAAGTACAATACTCTTCTCAAACAATCTTCTTCAACTATTAATGCCAAACAATTATATGCATGTACACGAAAAGAAAATATATCTATCCAAAACTTCGATGAAGTGGTTTCAATTTTGAAATCTATCAAAAAATACATGAAATTCAATATATTTGATGGCATTATTTATATCTTAAATCAAAAGGACAAAGAATTACGTGATTCTACAGAAGAAATCAAAAAATTTCAAAGAGAATTGCATTCAATTCAAAATCAATGCCAAAATGCAGCCAAACAAACTACAACCAATCAAATGAACGAAAGTCGCAACCAATCTGGAGAGTTTTTAACAAAAATAGCAGAACTTAAGGAATCTGATAGCTTTGAAAATGTTTACAAATTCCTCGATGTTCTTTCTTTGGAAGGGAATCGGGAAATCATAAAAAAGGCATGTAAAGAAGGACTTTGGAAAAAGACAACATCAGATGATAGAAATGTACTTCATTTTGCAAGTCAAAAAGGAAATCTTAGGCTTGTTATGTATCTTATTGAATTCAACTGGGATAAAGAAGTAAAGAGTAAACATGATTGTACTCCACTTATGTTTGCATCAAAATATAGTCATTTTGAAGTCGTTAAATATCTTATCCTCTGTCTGGGCTAATAAAGAAGCAAAGGATAATTTTGGAACTACTCCACTCATTATTGCATCAAAATATAGTCATTTTGAAGTCGTTAAATATCTTATCTCTGTTTGAGCTAATAAAGAAGCAAAGGATAATTTTGGAACTACTCCACTCATTATTGCATCAAAATATAGTCATTTTGAAGTCGTTAAATATCTTATCTCTGTTTGAGCTAATAAAGAAGCAAAGGATAATTTTGGAACTACTCCACTTATGTTTGCATCAAAATATAGTCATTTTGAAGTCGTTAAATATCTTATCTCTGTTTGAGCTAATAAAGAAGCAAAGGATAATTTTGGAACTACTCCACTCATTATTGCATCACAAAAAGGTCATCTAGAAGTTGTCAATTATCCTTTCTCTGTTGGAGCTAATAAAGAAGCAAGGGATAATAATGGATTTTCACCACTCAGTTCGGCAACATCTAATGAAGTTGTTAATTATCTTATCTCTGTTTAGCTAAATAAAGACTAATTAACACAAATCCAATTAAAAGAAGCTAAACTTTAGGGCAACATAGAATGAAGTCTAATTAACTGTTTTGTTATCGATATTCATTTACTAGATACTTTAATTAAAATCAATGATAAAAATTTCATGCTTGCTACGTGAATCCAATTTTTTCTCCTTTCATAATCACAAAAAAGACAATATGGAACTTTTGGTAATATATTTAAGGAATATTTGATCTATAATCTCATTCAAATGTAAATGTTAGATTATTCAACAATTTCAAACTTTAACGAATAAAAAACATAACTCTAATGGACCTAAATTATTATGTTACCGTATCAAATAGGTTTTAACTTTACTTTTCGCCCTCCAACAGCAGATTGATCACTCTCTAAGAGGCTTTTTCTTCAACTTCTATCATTTTATTCATCCTCATTAGTAATGAAACCAACATTAAATCAAAATTTCATATTCAATTCTCATTGAAATATGCTAAAATGTATAATATATGTTTCCCATGAAAATTTATGCTTTGATAAATAAAATTTTCTTCACACGATTAATTTAAGAGGCCAATATACAAATTTCTATAAATGATTATAAATGGTATTATAGAAAAATCATTTTTTAAAGACAGAAATTTTGGGGAGTTAGAAAAGTGAGAAAAAATTTTTTCTTATCAAAAAATTTAATTTGAATACTTTACAATATTAGTTGGTCTCTTATTTGACAATTGTAAAAATCAATAATAATATTAGATTAATATGGAGGAATCTATTTCAGAGAAATTTAGATAAAAATTTCAAAGAATTTTTTCGCAAAAAAATTGAATCATGATCTTTTTATCGTCAAAAAAGTGGTTTTTTAATGGCAACAGGTTTTCCAGGAAGAGGCGGTCGTGTAGAAATTCAGGACTCGAACGATGTCCTTTCTCTCTGCCAAATGAAGAAGATGATCTGCAATGATCATGATATCGAACCATGGACAATGTCACCAGCATATGCTCAAATTTGCAATGTTTTACAGCAATTAGCCGAAGCAGTTAAATCAAAACCACGTAGTCATCAACACGTTGTTAATCCAATCATCGGAAAAATCCTAGATACATTCAAAATCCTTCATCAATATCTTATCGAAATCGAACCACTCAAAACACCAATGCGTTTCGGAAACCGTGCTTACAGAACATGGCTTACAAAGGTTTATGACAATCGTAAGGAAATTTTGAAGGAGATTTCAGATAATCCAGATGTTTGGGATTATTACTGCCAGTCATTCGGCTCCTGGACACGTATTGACTATGGTACTGGCCACGAGTTCAACTTCCTTGCTTTCATTGCTTCATTATTTGCTCTTGGCATTGTTCAGCCAGAAGATTCAGAAGCCATCGTATTTGATGTCTTCTGGGCCTACTGGGACCTCGTAGTTGCAGTCCAGGAGCGTTACCACCAGGAACCAGCCGGTTCTCATGGTTCCTGGGGCCTTGATGACTATGTTTTCCTTCCTTTCCTTTTCGGAGCCTCGCAGTTGATCGACCATCCAGAGATTACACCAGCCAACGTTATTGACCCAGTCATTGCTAAGGCTTACGTTGCAGATTACTCATATTGCAAATGGATCGACTACATTTACAAAGTAAAGAAGGGAGCTTTCGCAGAACACTCCAGAATGCTCTATTCCCTTCGTAATGTCCCTCACTTTACAAAACTTACCGGTGGAATGTTCAAGATGTACAAGGGTGAAGTCATGGATCGCTTCCTCGTTGTTCAGCACTTCAGATTCGGTGAAGTTTTGAAGTGGGAGTAATCGGCTTTCATTCAAAAAAAAATTTTTTATAATAAAACTCTTTTACTCTTTAATTTATCTTTCATTGATCTCTTTTACTTTCTTTCTTTAGTTTCTGTTTATCATGGTTTTTTGAAAAAATAATTTTGAAATCTCAAGAATTTATCATTGATAACTATTGAAAAATGTAATAATTACCAATTCATTTAGTTGTTTAATCAAAAATCTAATTTCATAAAAGAAATAATCGATATCAAGAAAATTTATGCCTCATTATGTAAGGATGCTGTATAAATAGTTGATTTATAGGTAAAATTGATAAACAACATGTTTAATACTTGACAAATATTTTATATTTTAGTAATATTTGAGATTAGGTATTGAAATGACGCAAGGTAGTACATGGTTTCTCTTACATTAACTAGTATTCCTACTTATTTTGAATATAATAAAATTTCCAAAGGAAATTTGTTAAATTCTTGGTTTTCTTTGATTCTTCTTGCAAGAAACTTTAAAGTAGTTTGATGTAGATACTAGATACTTTCAGAATCGGTTCAGAATGAATTAATTCAGAAAATTTGATTTTTCTTCAACAATTTCAAAAAAGAAATTAATTATGATCGCACAAATCTCCTCATGAATCTCTTATGATACTCATTTCTAACAGGATCGTTGATATGATCGTTGGTTTGTTGAGGAGCGTTCATTTGTTGATTTCTGAATACAGTTTCGTCTCTCCAATCAAGTTTCATAGAATAATCAGGATTGAGTAATGGATTTTGTGTTAATTGTTCTTGTTGTTGAGCTTGTAATTGCTGAGCTTTTCTTTCTTCTTCCTCTGCACGTTCTTTCTTTAGTCTCGCAAGCTCTTGAAGAATTGCTTGATCTTCGTCTTCATCACTTGAACTGGAACTTGAATCAATTGATTCGGAATCAGAATCTGCATCAACATCAGCATAATCTTCAACTTCTTTAAGGGATGTTGATTCTATTTTAGCTTCATTCAATTTGGAAAGCATTTCTTCTTTGTTTAATAATTTTTTTTGTCTATATTTCAATTTCATATGGCCAGGAAGGGATCTTGCCATTTGATGAGATGTAGGTAAATATGCCTTTGCAGGATCATCTGAATACTTCCTTGTTCTGTATGTTGGACGGCCTGATCCACTCATTTAAGGGTGCACACGAGAGGATCATGTAAACTTCAGAATTTAGAACCTTATTTTTAGGCATTATCTTGGCTACCTATTTAGGCTCGAAAAGCAAAAAATATCAAAAAATACAACTTGACTCCATTATGACCCTTTCATGGAGGTAGTTTTTATCCGCTAGTATTTTCCCTTTGAATCTCTTTACAATTCGAAATCAAATTCAAACCTCAGTAGAAGAAAGGAAGAATCGACTTACTACGGTTGTAATACGAATAAATACATATATTTAATTATTTTTATTTACATAATAATTGTTTGAAGCTCATATTCCAACAAATTTTTAAATAAAAACATTAAAATGTTGAAAATGTTCATATATTTTAATAGGTTTTTGGCACTTTATTGAGGAATTACTACATACATAGTCGAACTGAACTTGATATTTTGAAATTTAAATTATTTATCAAAATTAAAATTTAACTTGAAATTTATAATTATTTAGTCATATTTTGCATAATTCTAAGTAGATTTTGTAAAAAATCAAGAAAGAAAAATTTTAACGTGCTTTATTTTTTCTTTTTATAATAATACATATTATTATATAATTAACATATTCATAATGTTTCACCCTTTCAAAGATATAATCCTCCTCCTCTCAAATAAACGTACATACGGGTGGCCTCTTTTTTCAAAAAATTAAAATTTGAAATTTTGGGCTCAAATATTAGAGATTTTTTCAACCTTCAACGATATATGTTGTCTATATCAGACCTCCTTTCTTTTTGATACTTAACATTGTTCCTAAATCTTAGCCGTTAAGGCTGTTCTGAAAATATTTTTTTTTTCGAAAAAATTCGAAAAAAATTCTTAAAATTCAAAAATCCCTTAATTCCTGAGGATTTTGGAAAAAAGTTTTTACATGAACATGCGTATATTATATGAAGTATATTGATAAGGTAAAAATCAAATTTTATTGCATATTCATCGAGAAAATAAACTAACGAATCCCTCAAAATTGAGAGGGTAATCCTCCTCCTCTCAAATAAACGTACATACGGGTGCACCCTTAATAAAAAAAATTTCAAAGAGAAAAACTTTTTTTTGTTTTAAAAATTAACTGTTAGGTTTTATTATCATTGTTATTATTTGCATAAAAAATTGAAATGAAAAAGTGTACGTTTACTAATGCAGGAAGCGATTCGTGTTTTTGAGCAAAGTGCAAGACAGGCTGGTAGTTCATTAGATGAAATTGAAGAACGAGCTAGTTCTGAGTTTCCTGGAGCTACACAGATCCTTGATCTTTGCAGAAGATTAAGAGAAGCAAAATTCAGATATCAAATTCTCTGTGAAAACATTCAAAAAATACAGGAAGCTAACGAAAACCTACAGAAATGTATTAATGAAGATTTAATAGTCACTGCAAAACTTGTGAAATCTGCTTGCGCACAAGAAGGTGTTCAAGTTCCATCTATTATCCCTGATCAAGTAACAAAGCAAGTAGCAACTAAGACAACAACTGCAGCTCCTGCTGCCAATACAACACAAAATTCCCAGACAACAACTAATTCAACAACAACTACTAAATCTAAACTTCCACATCCAAAAACAAGATCTCGAGCCAAAGCAGAGCCGCCTAAACCAGAACATGAATATGTTGAAATTACAGATGAAGAATTTAATTCGATTCCAGACTTCTTCAAGCGAAACATTAAAGTTGATGAAATTAGACAGCTTCATCAATACATTTTCAACTTCTTCTATGGCAATGGCAGAGTTGAAGAGACAATGTCTCGTAAAGATTTACAAAACATTGAAGTCGGATCTATTAAACGCAAGATTGAATCATTATTGAGATGCTTGAAGTCACTTAAGAGGATTCAAACCGACAAATCAAATAATATTACACAATGTTTATAATTTTTTTATCTACTAAAATATATTTTGTAGCGTTTTCATACAGCTTTCCATAAAATTTTCTATTTGTGAATTATATCTATTTACCCGTCCATGGATAACATTTTCCAAATATATTTCAAATTGATTGTTATTTTTAAAGAATCTTTCAAGAATCTAAGAATACATCCACAATGTGGATGAATACCAATAGTGAATAGCTTAGTTTTTGAATTATTAGATTCGAAATATCGAAATTAAAGTTATCAGTTCAAACAATTTTCTATTTTGTTAAGCCATGTATTCTAGTAGTTAGATCCAACTACTGAGGTTTTATTCATAAAAATGTTTGATTGGATTTTGTCGCCTTTCTTCGGAAAGCAAAACGAAGAGAAACCAGATGCTTCTATATTTAAAAAGGCACTAGAACTCGCAGAAAAGGCTCTAGTAGTAGGTAATGACCAAGATCGTGCAAACGCTTTTTCAACTCTAATAAAGTTTTCTCATTCATCACCAGATTTATCATTTATCGGTTTTTCTCTTACTCCTTTAATAGCATCTCCAAATATTAGAACTAGAATCATCGGATTTAGAGCTATGTCGATATTTTTATCATCAACTTCACCTGCTGTTGAAATGCTTCCATCAGTACTTAGAAAATCATTTCAATATGACGAACTTCTTATTCCTGCACTTAGAGCTTTAACATTTATTATAAATCCATTTGTTTTTCACTGTTTGAAGAAAGATATAATTGAAATAGCAACAGAATCAAATGATGTACCAAGATTACTTGCTTTACATTGCGTTTATTTATCATACAAACAAAAGCCAAAATATATCAAACATTTACTACCTCTTCTCAAAAGAGCAATAGTCCATCCTGCTCTCAGATATACGGCATCTTCAATACTATGCGAAATTTCATACAAAGACTGTTCCCAGTTGAAACAATTTATTTCGATCTTATTAACCGAAATTCCTTTGGCAACTCCACATATGTTCACCAAATTTTCAAGATTCTTACAGAATTTCATTAATTTTGACCCTTCAACTGCTTCATTAATTGAAAAACCAATTTTCCAGTATTTGAATCGAAATGACGATATAATTTCGACATGTGAGGCTCCATTTATTATTACAAAACTCCAAAACAATGCACAAATGATCCAATTAATAGGAAAAAGACTTCAAACGATAATATTAAACGAAACAGACTACAATTATCGAGCTCAAGTGTTATGGTCATTATCACTGATCTATCCTGAGTTTACTATTGATACTGTTTTGTTATCTGGAGTTGCAAATTCAGAAGATAATTATACTCGAAGCTGTGCACAACGATTACGTACTGTTATGACCACAGATAAAGTCGCTGCTATCAATGAAATCCTCAAAATCATTGAAAAAACCTGTGATGCGTCACTTTTTGAATTTGCTTTGAATTACGTTCAGCCAATTGGCCAAACTTACGTTCGTGTCTTATTAGCGCTTGGACAGTTGAATTCCTATTATATTCAGAAGAAAGTGGCCAATTTAATCCTTTCTATTTCGGATCAAGAAACACAGCAACTTTTATTGGACGAATTAACAGAAACGATCGCAGAAACGCCTGAGGATCTCGTAGGAAACGCAATGGCCCAAGCAATTGCTAATTGGTCGGGAAGAGATTCTGATATCTCAATTTTAATTCCTCATTCGATAGGAAGTAGGGCTGTTGAAGACCAAATACATTTGGTAAATTGCGCAATGCAATTATGGACAAGATTGCAGTTCAAAATATCTAAAATTGTTTTGTTTAGATTACAATTTCTCACACAATCGTTTGACCATGAAGTCAGACAACTTGCAGGTCAACTTATCGATCTGGATGCAATTATTGAATAGTTTTAATCGGTTTATAAATGTTTGTTATGCTATTATTTACTATTTTTAAAATCATTATCTAATTTTTTATATTTCATAGTATATTGGAAATCGCAATCAAATAACACTCAAAACTTATTGATATTTTCAACACTTACAAAGTATTTATATTAAATTAAAATATTTTTTAAGATGATATGATATTATACCTCAAATGATTACTTTCATTAGCAAGTTTAAGTCTTAAGCGTTTAAATTTTCGTTAATAAAATGCGACGAACAAAGAAGAGAGTAAACAATTTATCAATAGAAAGTGAATATATAAAAAATACGGAAATCAAAGTAGGCCATGCATTTACACTTGATGAAAGATTAAAGATATTGTGAAATCATAGATGAATTTAGGTTATTATATCGTAATGATTATGGAAGAATGCTTAAATTTACGAAATGGAAACTTGTTTGTCTTTTCAGAAAGCAGCAAAATAGAATACTAAATTCTTTTCTTCTTACCAACCAAACTCATTTGGTCAAATGAACAAAATTTATTAAAACGGCCAATTTCCCTTTTAATAAAATTGTTAGAAGCTAATGAATCCATTCAGCATGATAATGGAGATTTATGAATAAAAAATTCGAACCGATTTTTAGATCCAAATTTAATCAAAATTTAACTAACAAACGATCAAAGAGTAAATTGGGATTAATAGTCTTTGAAATTTTCTAAGAATTTTTTTTCCATATACCGGTGATTTTTAACTTCAGAAAATTTATTTACAGTAATATTCACCGTATAATTTTTCTCATTGTATAAAAGTACACAAAAATTGAATGTATGAACCCCGTCAAATTTATCTCATATTTTATGAATATGTGTCGTATGTATGTAATCATTACAATTTCAAAAGACCTGTCTTTATTGATTAATTTTTTCAGAATAAAAAAGGCTTGATAATGAGTTCACTTTTGTTCGACAAGAATGAATCCAGACTCCTACAAGAAGATTGGCCAGAAACTCACCAAGCTTGAATATCAATCAGGATTTGCTGTCACACTCAAATACAAGAAGACAAAGACAACAGCTTCCTGCGATGAAGAATTTGCCACACCAGCCCTTACATCTGAATTCAAGGTCAAGAAGGTTGGCAAGATCCAGTGTGGATTCAAGGACGGAAAGTCACAGCTCATTTTCTCACCAAAGCTCGAAAAGCTCGATGCTAAGCTTGATTTCAACGCCATTGACAACTCATTCCTCTTCGAGTATGCCAAGAAGGTAAAACCAATCAACTCCCTCGTTACAATCAAGTACGATTCTGCTAAGAACGAACCATCCGTTCTTATTCAGCCAAAGTTCAAGCTTAACAAGATCAACTTCGATGCTAACCTCTTGTTCAAGAAGCCAGTCGAAAACTGCCCACCAGTTATCTTCCAGGCTCACGCTGCTTACAAGAAACTCTTCCTTTGCTCCTGCTTCAACGAAGAAGAGAAGGAATACCGCGCCGCTGCCTTTGCCAAGCTCTTCAAGGGAATCCACGCTGGTGCACTCCTCCACTTCGATCCTCTCGCTGAGAAGCAAATGAAGGCTGTCGATGTCTTTGCCAAGTACTCCTTCAAGAAGGGCAAGATCGCCGCCATCACAACACTCCTCGGAGAGAAGCCAGTCGTCAAGGTTAACGCTAAGGCCAAGGTCGGAAAGAAGGCAAAGATCGGAATTAACACAGTTTACGGTGAAACAATCACAGGCGACTTCGGTGTTAAGGCTGACCTCAAGAAGTTCAAGTTGAACCTCATCGTCAACGCTAAGAAGGAATCCGACGAAATTTCTGAAGGTTTGATCGCTCAGACTGCCTTCAAGGTCAAGAGGGTCGGCAAGGCCAAGGTTGGCGTTGCTATCCCATCCATTCAGGAGGCTCAGAAGGCTCACTTATTCGTCAACCTTAAGATCAAGGACTAAATTTATATAAACATGGCAAAATCCGTAATGGGTGTATTTACGTAAACCGTCCATTTCATACAAATGACTTTTTTATAATAATTTTTTTCAGAATTAAATAATATTTTGAAATCTGAGCTTTTACGAAACATTTTAGACATCTCTTAATTGACTAAGTAGAAAATTGCTTAGAAATTGCCTCAATAGAAAGAATTAACAGTAATTGTTTTCTATTATAGAGGCAAGAGCAGTGACTTCTTATAATATCAGCAATATGTGTCCCTTAAACCCAAGTTCAACAGCATATGAAGCTCAGATTGTATATCTAAATTTGAAAAATTTCCTAATTGAGCAAGATCAGGCAATTTATGTAGCGAATTTAGAGATTTCTTTTGAACCCTAATAGTCAAGATGATTTGGTGGAATAAACTGATTTCCAATGTTTTTTGTACGTTAAAATTAGAAAAATTGATGACCGCGTTTGGGAAAATATTTCGAGCGCGGAATAATATAGAAGATAAGTTTTTTGAAGCAGTTGAAGCAGCCCAAAAAACTGCACAAAAGGAATTCGAAGCTTCTGAAACAATTAAAAGAGCATGGCACAGATTTAAGCAAAAGAAACAACAGAAAAAGCTAGAAAGAAGTGCAATTATAATACAGAAAACATGGCGAATGCATCACGCTACAACTATAGTAAACGTACTTCGTGCAGAAAAATATCGGCAAGAAAGAGTTGATTTCTTTAACAAACAAGCGACGAAAATTCAAAAAGTATGGAGAGGATACTATGATCGTAAACATGTTTTCAATTTCGCTAAACAGAAAGAATATCTCGAGCAAGTTAAACAGACTAATGAAAAGATGGCTCATTTGCTCGAAGGTTATTATGCGGAAACAAATGAAACAATTGCTCGTGCAGAATTCGAAAAAGAAGCTCGCAAACAAGAAAATATCGCCCTTAAACAGCATTACTTGGTTTCAACTTCGGCTATTCCTTCAGTATTCCAGCCGCCGGCGTTTAACAAGGATGCTGGAGCTCTTTCTGCGGTTGAGAATTTCATTCGAACTGTTAATAAGGCAAAAATATGCGTGCCAAGTGTTGGTCCACGCTAATTTTATTAAAATTGTTTTGTATTTTCTTTTCAATGACATTATTTTTTTATTACCATTTGATTTCATTACATCTGATTTGTTCTACACTTATATACTTGATTTCAAAGGAATTATTATAGGTAGCATCCAAAGGTGGGTATCAATGAGTAATTTTCGTTTTGAATTTATCAAAAACTCTTGAAATTGAAGAGATCATGAGAACAGAAGCTCGCATGGTTTTGTGACTTATGATTTGGTGATTTAATTGATCAATATGAATTCAATTGATTCGGCCGTCATTCAATGTGTCTTTTAAGCCATATTGTTATACAAAATCAAAAAACATACTTCATCATATTAGAATTTGTTAGATTTTTTAAGACAATGACAATTTGTAGGTTAACGATTCTCAAATTCACAACTGATCATCACGATAAGCATAATTTTGGAGCAGAAATTATGAAACCATGAGCAATATACTTGTTCTTTCATCAAATGCGTTTGATTAGAATCACCCCCTCAAACATCACTTTACATGGCAAATTGAACCCTATTATGGGAATTTCAGGTTACCAATTTGAAATCTAGCATCTCCATATGATGGATAACCTATCAATAGAGAAATAATATCTGGCATAATAATTTTGGAACGATACGTTTAAATCGTATAAAAATGGTGTGCCCTTATTCCTGTAATAAATATTTTAAAATTTCTACTCAATTTTTGATGGTTCGAATTTGATTGAGAATGCCCTTTCAATAAATTGAAGGCCTCAGAAAAATTATATCATAATTTAGCTGCAAGAATGGGCCTCTTTCGCAAGGAACTCTTGTATGCTGTAATTATTCAATTCACATCATTCTCATTCGGTTTTATCTTAGCTATTGCATCTCCAGCTGCAGATTGGTATAAGGAAAATTGGAACATCAGTGATACACTTATCACATACTATCAGTCACTTCCATCTGCAACTGCTATTGCTGGTACATACGTTCTTGCCGCTTTATTCCACTTCTTTGGACGAAATATGACAACAACAATTGTCAACATTTTCACAATTCTCACATGGGTTATGCTCTTGTTCGTTACCAAGACCACATTCTGGCTTGCTCTTGTTGCAAGAGTTATGCAGGGTATCTCAATGGGTGTTTCATCAGCTTTAGCTCCATTGCACCTTTCTGAAATTGCTCCAGAAGATTCTAAGGGCTTCTATGCATCAATCAACACAGCCTCCATCACATTGGCCATCATTATCTTCTTCTGCTGTGCTGAATTCTTGAAACCAAACGAACTCAACTATATTGCCATTGCTGTTCATGCCTTACAGACCTTCACAATTTGGTTTGTTCCAGAAACAAAGCCAAAGGAAGAAAAGCACGAAGATCAGACTGTCAAGGAATCCATTTGCCAGCCACAGTACATCAAGCTTGTCTGTGTTGCTATCTCCATCATGTTCATCCAGCAGTTCTCTGGTCCAAACGCTATCACAGTCAACTTCTTCCAGGTTTTGAAGAAGGCCAAGCTCTCAATCAAGGAAGGTTTCGCTGCTTCCATCATCATGACAACACAGATCTTATCCACAATCTTCTTATCTGGCTACGTCGACAAGTTCGGCAGAAAGATCTTGTGGATCATCTCCTGCATGTCTGTTGGCATTACACTCGGCCTCTTCGGTCTCAGCCTTCAGTTGAACTGGAACCCATTCATTGGCATTGTTGACCTTTGCATCTTCCAGATCGCTTTCGGCTTAGGTTTAGGCCCAATGCCCTGGTACTTAGGCCCACAGATGCTCCCACCACAGTTCGGTGGCACAATTGCATCTATCTGCACATCTACAAACTGGCTCTTCTCCTTCGCTATCATCCAATTGTACAGCCCAATGGAGAAGTTCATCAAGACATGCGGATGCTTCTACTTCTTTGCAGGAATCGCTATTGTCGGTGGTATTTACGGATACTTCTTCATCAAGGACAACAAGGATTCTTCCAAATACGAAGAAATTTAAAAGAAATTTCTTTACTTTAGATAGTAAAACTTTCAAACTATAAAATTTTAACCCTTTTTTACATATAAACCTCATCAAATCAATATCTTCGATCAAATTTAGTGTTTGTAATGATTTATTGTTTAACATCTATCTTGGTAACAATCAGAAGGATGTTTTATTATCATTTGTTTTATATTTTTGATAGAATTCTTTCTTGTCGGAATAGAATAAAAGCAGTAAACCTATTCATTAGACGCATTACAAAGCTTTGCGCAACATGTATCATCAATTCCAATGTCGCTTAAGCCATAAACCATCGTTTCGTGCATGTTTATTTTCAATATATTTTGACATGATTAGCATTTATATTGTAAATTCTTTATCTACATCTGTACTTTCAACAACACAGACTCTCATACCATAATCCATTCTTTCTTGGATTTGTGTTTTATTTAAATCCTTTCATGAATTTTGTTAAACTTACGATCCAAAGCTTTTGTTGATAAGTAATAGATACTGTGAGATTAATGAAAACAAACATAATTTATTTTTAGTTCAAAAAAACAAAGAAATTATAAATTTAATTTTTTTCTTATGTAACAAGTTTCTTTGGAGATCCTTGTGATCTAGCACTTGTTCTTGTCTCTTCCAGAGCCGATTTCTTTCTTACGTAACTTAGTTTCTCCTCTCTAATCTTCTTAATTTCCTCAGATCTCTTAGTTTCCATTGCCACTCTTGATTCTATTGCTTTTCTCATCTGGTCCATCTTTCTTGTCTGAAATGCCTTTTCCTTTTCTCTCCTCTTTATCTTCTCCCTCTCCAAAGACTCCAAATCGCTGAAAGAACTTTTTCTCAATGGAGGAAATGGGTCATGTTCTTTAATTGACTTAGGAATTCCTGCTTTCCTCATACCATATTCTCCATTCATGATCTGGCGTTCCAAAGCAATGACTTTTTTCGCTTCTTTTACGCACTGATTTTTATATGCGAGCCATTGTGCAGCTCTTTGTTTTTCTATCCACATCTCTATAATCTGCTGGTCATCAGGTTGGTCAAGGATCCTTTCTTTGATCTTCTCCAGGTTGTTTTGTGTAATTGCCGATGTCAAATCGTTTAATTTCAAATTGTGTAAGAGACAAGGTTCGGAAACTTTGAGTGTACATTGATGTTTGATCCATCCATCCTCTAATCTTGGGTCTGGAAACATTGTTTTCGGTCCAAGTTCAGCTATCTGAATTAGATGCTGGCCGTGAGGGAGTCTGACGCTGAGAACATCGTCTTTTATGTCCTTGGAGTCGTTCCCTTTGTATTCTGAGAAGTTTACATAACGGTGAACGGTTAATTTTCCTTGAGCAACGACAAAAAAGCCCTGTGTCTTGGCTTTTTCGTTGTCCCAGAAGGTCTTTATCTCGTTCTCGGACTTCCCGTTGGGATCGAACTTGACGGGGACTGTAATTGGCGCGGTATGCTGCTTATCGAGAATTGTTCCAGCGGGTAAGTTGAAATCTACGGTGTTTTCGGCAAGGCGGATGAATGTATCGCCTTCTTCGCCGTTGGCATCGCGTACTGTATGTAAAATGGAGAACTCTTTGATGTGAGAAATGATATTTGCACGTTTAACAAGCTGAGTACGAGCAAAGAACTTGGCAGTATCACGATAGATCTGGTTATCAACACGAATAAGAATACTTGGCTGCGAGATATAGATCGTAGCGTTACGCGGACAATCGTTAATGAGAGCGACAGATCCGAATTCGAGTTTGGGACCAGCAGTGAATACAGCTCTGAAGAATTTGTCTGGTCCGTGAGCTTCTTTTAGCTTTTGAACCATGATTGGAGGCATATCCGCCATAAATGCATCATCTGTAATGACTTTAACGACTTTACACTCGCCAGTAACGACAATAAACCAACCATTAGGCTCATCATCCTGTTTGAAAAGAATTGTGTTTGCTGGTCTTTCATCATAAACCATTTGTCGACAAACTTCACGTCTCATTTGCTCTGAGTGAACAGCATTTGTGAAGCATGGCCATTTTCCAACTGTTGACAATAGAGTATCTACATCTTGATCTGTTCTTTCGGGAGATGGAATTTTTAATGCTGCAATCATTTGATCAATTGTCTTTTCGTTCGCATGATCGACATTTTTCTTGCGTGGAACTAATAATACTTTGGGGCGAAGTCGGCAAGTAATCTCCAGTTCTGCTGTTCGCATTGTTTTTTTAATTTTGTGAATTAGAAAAATTTTGCACGTTATTTTGTAATGCATGTAAAAACATCAAAAAAGCAATAAATTGAGTTGGTTTTTATGATACAAACTGTTTTTCCTATGAAATATTAGCTTTAAAGCCATTTTTTAAGATTTCATTGGATGATTTTCCACAAAATATTCAGCTGGCGATCTGAATAGAGTCATCCCATGCTATCATGAAGAAATATGAACTGTTGAAATCCATGCTTAATTGCAAAACTCAAATTTCATTACAAAGATATTTAGTTTTTTTACTGATTTTTTATTAATTTTTATTTTTGAATCGAAAAACTTTGAGAATCAGAGTTTTTAAATCTGCAGAATGGGCTAATTTTTGATATATATACGAATAATTATAAAGGATTTAGGATCCAAGATTTAAATAACACAATAATTATGCTTTGCAAAATATATTTCACTTAGGAAACCATTGATTTGCTAAAAACATATTGGCAAATAAAGTTACAAGACAGATGCTAGTTGGCTCAGCATCTTTGAAAAATTTTATATAGAATAATGATAATTACATTGCATCATAAAACAGTTAGAGTGCCATAAGCTTTTAAATGTTATTTAAGCCAGTTTCATTGTTTGCATTCTTTGAGATCGATGTCTTTCCAATTTTATTATATTTTTTCAAGGAAAATAATGAGTACGTTAAGCAAATTTCAAGTACGAAGCTGATTCTTCATTTGTTTTTTCTTAGATTGAATTTTTGAATGATAAAAATTGAATACTTAAACGTACATATTTTTAGGATGAGTTCTGAAGTCTCTGCTAAGTCTCCAATGAGGACACCAGTAAAGTCACCACACTTAACTAACCAAGATTCAACTAAGCGTGCGCTTAAAAGGAAAGAACACGAACTAAACAAGCAAGAACTTCTGAATTTGAAGGAACAGAACCTTAAATTAGAAGCAAAGGCGGCTGAATTAAAGAAAAATAAGAGCACATTATCTCATGCAATCAAGGCTGAGCAAAGTTTGGCCTCAATCCGTGAGAAAGAATACAGAGATGAATTAAATATTCAAATTTCCCTTGAGAAACAGAAGATGAACATTCAAATCAGTGAAGTTAGGAATGCTAAAGATTTGGAGCGCCAAAACACTGTGAAGAATTTACAAAACTCGACAGTTCAAATTGGATCCTTCATTAAAGAATCAACTGCTCAGTTAAATGCTTACAAGCCTCTTAACAACGAAGAAGTAGAGCAAATGAAGTCAAAATACCATTCAATGATTGTAAATTGGAATTCAAATCATCAGTTGAGCGAAACTGAAGTTCTAAATCTCAAATTAAGAAAGACATTGTGCTCTATTCGTGAACATTCAAACTTTAATGTAGCACCTAAGCCAAAATTAGGCATTGAATTAACAAACTCATTTGAAACAAATTATGATATGATTCCTAAACATGAAGAACGTCAAACTGCAACAACATATACAAAGATCACTGTTGCCAAGCCAATCTTATTCGCTTCTCAATAAGCAAATATTTGTAATTGATTTCACTAAATTATTGTTATATTTGAAATGAAATTATCACCTTTTTAAAGAAAGTATGTCACCCCACTATGAGACATATTTCGTTTTCGACTCCATGTTCAAATATTTTGTAGGTTCGAAATTTCCCTTTTCTAAGGATACAGTATTGTATTAACTCAACAGAAATATATTCATTACACACTCAAGTTTATGTGGGCACATATTTCTATAGAAATCTTCCGGTTGCAAGATATAGACTGCCAAAGTTCCCTATAAGTTGATTTAGGTATGCTCATGGAGTATTTATCAATAAAAGATAATTCTACTCTACTAGTATCAGAACCTACCAATAACAATTATGTAAAACGAATGAAACCTCTGTCAATAATATTTTATTTATTAAATCAAGGTTTTATCTTTAACTTCATTAATCGCAAACATATTGGTATACACAATATATTTTGGAGTAATTATATATTCTGGTAAAAAAAAAAGAAAATTTGTTGATTTTGAAACCTCTATAAACATACATGATTTTACATAGATCTAAAATGATTCGAAAAGCATAGCATAAAATACCATATCATTCAACCTCTTCTGTTTCATCATGATGAGCCTCATATTCACGTTTCAAAGATCTAGCGTATTCTTCACGATGTAATTGCTCGATATCGATGTCATTAACCTTGAGAGTGGACTCGTAACAACCTAATTTCTCGCTTCCTTCCCTAAAAATCATTCGAATTGTATAATCTCCGATTGGAATTGTAGCAGGCACTGGCAATAGAACGGCATAGACAACTTGTGAAAATGACGCAGGACAAATAAGAATACCAGGACGACAGAGCTGGTCGATTTTTCGTGTGTAAGGAATTCTTCCGTTTGCTAATTGAATTTCAAGATATGGTTCTTGCACTTTATGATTAAGCTCTGCAATTAAGTGAAGAACAAATGTCATTCCTCGGGTTTCGATTGCGGTAGAAACATCGAACTTTTTAATTTGAAAATATTGTTTTGCTTGGCCTGGACATTGCCTAAATTCACTTGTACCGAATGCCTTTGCAGTTCCAATTAAAAAAAGAAACATCATTTTCGAAACTTGTCACTTTTTTAAAAATTTACATTCTTCTTATCTTCAAGATTTGACAAAATATATATACAGTGCTGTATATGGATAGTATATTTTTAGAAGTTTTAACCTTTCTGATTATTTCATTATTTAATTTTTGAAGATAAACAAATCAAATTCAAGTTTAGATTTTTTAAACATCATATAAATCTATTTTTTTATTCTTATAGTTACCACTTGGTACGATGAGTCCAATCAATATAATCGATGCATGAAAAATCATTATTTCCCTGATTTATAAATATTGGCAATGTTGCAACCAATCCCATGAAACTCATGAATCTGAGAAATCGTGTTAAGATGGAAAATTCAACATCATCAATCAATAAATCATAAACTTGATAAAGAAGAGTAAATCTCTTTCTGATTTCAAGTCTTTCATCATTAAGATCAGCTTCAACAATTTCAGTTAATCCATCAACTGGTTTAATCATTTTCTTTGGAATCTGAATTGGACCAACATCTGTATCTCCTTCTAATGGATCTTTCTTCTTTTTCTTCTTATCTTTTTCATCTTTCTTATCATCCTTTTTATCTTTATCTTTATCTTTTTCTTCATCTTTGTTGTCTTTATCTTTTTCTTCATCTTTCTTCTTTTCTGATTTTGTTTTATCTTTGCCATCTTTAATATCTTCTTTATCGGAGATATCTTCATCATCAACATTATCATCTTCGATAATTTCTTCTTTCTTAGATTTTGATTTTGATGAAGAACTTTCACTTTTTTCTTTTGATTTACTTTCTTCATCACTGTGACTAAAATCACTCATATCATCTTTGTGTTTATTCTTCTTACTCTTCTTCGAATAAGAATCTTCATCTTCATTGTGATCGTAGTCATCACTTTCTGAGGAATAATTATCTAATAAATCATCATCTTTACCTCTCTTTGAATTAGGATGTTTTCTCTTTGAATTCTTCTTCTTTTTATCTTTACTTTTCTCTTTCTCTTTGTCCTTGTCTTTCTCTTTATCTTTATCATTATTTTTGCTTCCTTCTTTCTCTTTCTTCTTTCGTTCTTTCTCTTCTTTCTCAAGACGCTCTTTCTCGCGTTTGATTCGAATTTGATCGTTGTCAGTAAGTCGTGTTGGATCAACAAGTTTCTTTTTATCAAGCATGCCAAAAACAATTGCACCAACTGTTGCTGCAACACCAACAATATCTGCAACCAAAACAATATAAGAATTGACTTTCTCTGGAACAGGTTTGTAAACGTTAACTGTTGCAACAATACCAACAACTGCATTAACTAAATACAAAATCATATCAATAATGTTGTTGAGAAATGCAAAATATGGTCGGCGAACTAATGTCAATATAAACATCAGAATGTGTAAAACTGGAAGACAGCCAATGATGTTTTTGTGTGCAAAGTTTGCCAATGTAGTAACAAGTAAAACAAAGAATCTTAACAATTGCCCAGTATGGATTGAAATATGTCAAATCTTTGCAGAACTTAGCTCCAACTGTTTCAACTCTGATCATCAAACAATGCCATCTGTATTCTTTAGAATCTCCATATGCAGCCATTGTTTTGAATTGTTTTCTCGCTCTGTTGATTAAAAAGAAATATAAAACAGGACATCCAATCATAACAAATGCAATGGCCCAATACAAGAACAATGTATAAGTGGGCAATATTTGATAATCAAAGTAAATTGATGGCTCTGATTTAACAACACGAACTGGATTACCAGAACATAAATAAGGACACGTTTTAGTGATTTCTGAATAAGGATCAAGCGAGGCATTTAATGCATTAAATGTTTCTTCTAAAATTCCTGGATTGTTTGACATGAATTTTGTAAATTTTCTGAACACAGAAGCAGATGTGTTAGGACTTACTTGGTCATTAATGAAGTTTTGAATTCCAGGGTATTTATACTTCAATATTGGCCCGCATGGAATGCAATGACCTTTTGTCTTAAGTAATGCATCTTCGCCTCTATATGCTCCCCAGTAATATCCTTCTGGACATTGAACAGATGTACTGTAAATTATTTGTAAGAAATATGTCAAAATTGGAACGTAGAAAATATCCAAGAACAATGCGAATACTGTAAATGTCAACTTTTTCAATATGGATTTTAGTTTGAGTCTCAATCTTCGTGACCATTCGCAAAGACCCAATAATCCAGGTATCAAAAATACGACTGCAAAAAACGATAAAACAGCTGTGGCAATTAATGTGATTAGATTTTTCAGTGCACCGGCCCATTTCTTGATTTTGGCTGTGACTGGAAACTTATCGAAATCAATTGCTGAGCCAATGTTTTGCAAAAATGTGATTAATGACATAATTGCACTAGTTTGACTCAAATTTCCCATAACAAAATGTAAGAATTTTTCATCTCAAAATCATTGTCACTTTTTAAAATATCATTGACTTTTATGGTAAAACTTATTTAAGAAAAATAGAATAAGTTTAAAGGAAAAAAAAATTAGCATCATAATTTCAACAAAATTTATATATATTTGGAATCAATGCTTATTAGATATCATTAATTTCTCTATAATATTGCAAATGAATTTTATAAACGAGTCGATTTTGTTGGATGGGAAATCGGAATAATTTTAAGACTTCTATTCGGGAATTGGAATTATATCTAAATTTTTTACATTATTCAAGAATTTCAAAGAAAATATTTCTTAATTGAATATTGATGAGTAAAAAAAATGGATTTATATTACATACATTCTGATTATAGCAATATTTCCATATTAGAATAAACATTTTACACCGCTGTGCTCTCAATCTTTTGAGAAGATTTTACACTACTGATATATATATATATTATTTGTTCCAATATTCTACATTTATAAATTTAATTTTTGAACAGGTTATTATCGTCACAGAACATGATTTTTACCATCTTACTCATATATACCAGCAAAGATTATGCACGTATTGACCCTGATTGCTATTATGAAGATGGATACGATGAAGAGAAGAGCTATCATTTACTTGAAATTCCGCCAGGGAAAAAATATTGCTTCGATTACAGTGCAATTTTTGCATCAAACACTTCAATACAAGGTGAGTTTAATGATGGTCAAATAAATCCTACAATGGAAGATCCATTTCTATGGGTTAGAAAAATCCCTGATAGAAATGATATATTTTCAATGATCTACGCTTCCAATAGGAATGAGCCTTTTTTACTCCAAATGATCAAAGTTGAAAATTCCGATTTCAGTGATAAAAAACTACATTATTCAGTTTTTTCAACAATACTACATTTCAGTCAAAGATTTGTACCAACATATTCTCCTTATAGTCGAAATTTGATAATTTTAGTTTTTGATGGAAAAAAAACTCGCGCTTTTACACGTGATTCATCATCGCATACTTACGTGAATTATTATTTCCCATCACTTGCTAATGTCGTTCAATTATTTCCGAAAAATCAAATGTTTGTTTTTCCAGATACACCAGGAGCATATACAAAGGAAGAAGTTGAAAAATTTACAAAATCACATTATCCATTTTATGAAGAATACAAATTTGATCGATATGATTTAACAGAAGCTACAGCTAAATGTGCAAATAGCGAAATTTGGGCTCCAGAGTTTGTGGAACAAGGCCATGATATTGGATTGAGATATACTGATTCAAAAACATTTACAATTAAACCAGGAAAAGCACAATGCTTATATGGAAATTTCGTATTGGATAGTAAACAAGATTACATGGCAACTATTGAATATGTAGATACATCTGATTTTGATTTGTATAATCAAAATCTCAAAAAAAGTAACAAGAAATATGAAAATCCATTTAGTATAACAACAGAAAGACCTGATGAAAGAAATGCTCAATTAATAAAATTAGAATGTAAATCATTGAGAAAGCCGTGCCAAATACAAGCAATTAGTGTTTTACCTCCTATTCAAAGAAGACATATAATGATACCAATGAAGATTGAATCAATATTTACAACAAATTCAAGTTTGTCACTTGAAAAAGAAATCATCATCAATGATGAAGAAATCGAATTGTTTACAATCACAGTTCACAACAAAAACAAATTTAAAGTTAAAGTGAGTAGTGACAATGATCAAATCAAAAACTTATTGTCAACATCAGACAGTTACACAACAGACGAAGTTACACATAATACAGTAACTATTTATCCATATTATGATTTGTTCAAATTCATTCGAGATGAAGAAAACATTTCTAATTTCAAAATGAATGCTAAAGTTAAAGTTGAAGTAGAACCAATAGAAACTGTTAGTGATGAAGAAGAAATCATTGAAGATAACTTATTCTTAAGATTACCTTCAAATGGAGGAGGAAAAACAAAACAAGAAGTTACTGAATTCAACAAAGAAGAAGAAGAATTAGATAAAGGACATGGAGGATTGATTCTTTCTATATCAATTGGTCTTACAACAGTTCTTTCACTTGCAATCATCATTTATTCTGTAATTATGCATATTATTTATAAGAAGAAAGACCAACAGAAGGAACAATTGGAAGAACAATTACTTTCTGATATAGGTGTTCAAGAACCAATTCCTTACAGACCTAGTGATAATAAACCAACAGTTAATGATAAAGAAGAAGAAAAAGAGGAGGAGGAAGAATAACTACTTGAAAATGAAGAACCACCTAAAGAAGAAAAAGTTGATAAGGAAGTCAATGAATCTGATTCAAATAGTGATTCATCTCAAGAACCAAATGCAAAACTTTTGCTAGATTCATCTGATCTAAAGAGTTATTCATATTCGATTAAGGATAATAATAATAAACCGAATGACATGTTATTAAATGCACAAAATCTACCTCCACAAACAAATCAAGAACAAAAGGCATCCGTATTTGGAGATTCATTTGATTCAAAGAGTTATTCTTATTCGAATAATAACAAACCAAATGACATGTTTGTCAATGCTCCACCAATTCTACCTCCTCCATTAAATCAAGAACCAAAACCATCTGTTTTCGGAGCATCATTTGATTCGAATAATAATAAACAAAATGACATGTTTGTCAATGCTCCACCAATTCTACCTCCTCCATTAAATCAAGAACCAAAACCATCTGTTTTCGGAGCATCATTTGATTCGAATAATAATAAACAAAATGACATGTTTGTAAATCCACCTAGCATAGCTCCTCAGACAAATCAAGAGCCCAAACCATCAGTATTTGGAGAATCTTATGATTCGAGGAGTTATTCATACACTGATCAAAGAAAGTCAAATGATGAACGAAGCGAAAGTTCAGATTCTGATTCAGGCGATAAGAGCTATTCGACAACTAATTCTGTTTCATATACAAGTATTTTCTGATTGCAGAAATGAAATAAAATATATTAATGTTTTACATAAATTAATCTTCAAGTAACTTATTTAATATTGAGTAATTTCGATATCAAATACATAGGTTTTGGATCGCGTAAATACAATTTCTTAAGTGTATTTGTATTTTAAATAGTTTTCCTATCACCGTGATGAATTCGCACTCGTTTCATCTTTTTGTTTTGCAATAAGACTTTAAAAAGCCATGCACTAGTCGATGTATCATATGTTTCTATTGATATTTCGTACTTTCATTCATTATGTTATGTTATTGAATATCAAATTATGAACAATTCCATGTCCTTTAACAGAGTTTATCATCTTTTTTATGAAATATATATAAATTTATTAATCATAGGTCATGATTTTGCGTTCAAATGTTTAAAAGTTATAAAGCAGATGAAGACTTCGATGAAATTCGATTAAAGTATGTTGATGATTTATGCGAAGATATCAATCGCATTTCTTTCACAGAAGATATCTCCTTTTTTAGCGAGAATGGCGAGATTCAAAACTATAATTCCGAGAATAATCCATTTATTAATATTACTTTAGAAGAAATCGTTAGTATTATGCAAGGAAACAATGATCAAGTTATAAAACAAGTATTTGGAGCATTTATTGGCAATTTTTCAAACAATATTATCCCTTACACACAAGATTTTAGAGAAAGTGGATTTATATACGAATTGACTAAACTCATCAATCATAAATCTTACACAATTTACTCTCTAGCCCTTAGAATATTATTTGAACTTGCCTCATGCGAAGAATTTGTAGATGATATGACTACAGATGGATTTTGGGAAATCATTAAAAAGAATTTGAATGAAAATCAATCAGATGATCACAGAAAAATTCAATTAGTTTTATTATTACTTCAAAGAGTGATTCATTATTCAGAAGCTGTTCGAAGCTATTTTATTTCAAATCATCTCCTTGATAATCTTCTATCGCTCGTTGAATTAGATAGAAATTCCTATTCAGGAATAATTTGCAAATTATTACAAATTCTTGCAATGGAAGATTTCGTTGAAGATGACGTAGAATACGTCTATACAGCATATGCAAACATTTTCAGCATCACATTTCAAGTACATCCTACAAAATCCTTACAATTTATGCTAAATCTTTCCAGGTATGATGATTTCTATGAAATAATGACAAACAATGCTTTAATTAAAGAGTTCATACAATACTTAGGCACTTGTTCTTATGATTTGTTGAATTATTTGCTTGGTATTTGTATAAATTTTGCTCAATCATGCCCATTTTTGTTTACAAGAGTTTTTCTTAGATTACTTTACATATTTAGAACTCCAAATCAAGAAAAAAATATACTTATAGGAATTTCGACACTATTTACTGTTTTAATTCCAGAATATACACAGTTCAATCCTGAAGATGCGGATACGGAAGAATTTGCTCCATATCTCGGCGGAAATTACAAATTTATTCCGGAAAATTTTGAAATTATTAATGATGAAACGTATAATGGTCCAGAAGAAGGATCTCAAACAATCGGATTGATGCAAGTATCGATATTAATTGATATATCAATGGTTGTAATCAGAGAATTCAGTTTACTTCCTTCATATCAAGCACAATCCTTAGTTCTTAGTCTATTTGAAGTATTGCGTCTGCAGAATCCATTTATAGTACTCACGTTGCTTAGCGAAGTTTCTACTTGGAGAGCTGATGAAGAATCTTCAATAGAATATCAAGATAAAAGTTTAATGGAAACATTAAATACAGCCCTTGAAATGGAAAACCCTGTTATTAATTACAGATGTTTGCGTTGCCTTATTGATTTGTTTGATCTTGAGGAAAAAGAAAACGGAACTTCTGGTTTATATGATGAATTTAGCGAATGTGGTGGAATTGATACAGTTGCTGACTTAACTCAAAGCGAAGATGAAGATGTTCGAGAAATTGCAACTTATTTCATGCACAAAATCGCCCCTGATGATTTTTAATTATTTTGTTTGTAATAAAGACTTGTTATATATCGAATTTATTCGTTTATATCACATTTTATCTTATAATTCCGTAGCATTCCATGAAAGGGAAGTAATGTATTGAAAAATAGGATACTTAAATTTAAAATTATCTAATATACTTTCAATGGGCCAATGAGAAGAGTATTTTATGAAATTCAAAGATATTTTGATAAACAAAAATTTAAATAATGCCATGCCAACGAAAAGGTACATATAAATTTGTATTTATTATTGGATTTTTAAGTGAAAATCATTCCGGACGCATAAATATGAGTGCTAACAAAGATGTATCGATAATAAAAGATGATGTTAACTTATTTGCTATAGATTATTTACATGGAAAACAAGAGGATATATTTTATATATGTAATTTTGAGTTTATTCGGAATTTAAAAATAAAATTGGAACAAATATTCAAAAATTGATAATCATATGCAAGGCGCTAATGAATTAGATCAAGAGTTTTCAAAATATAAGTATATTGGCTGCTAATAACCTAAGTTTTTAATGCATTTCCAAAAACAAGAATTATAAAGGCGTTAATTGAACATTTTATAAACTACTGTAAAACCTTAAGTTAGAATATGGATAAGTTTCAGAGTATTTATTAATATTTGAGGAATAAATAAAACTCCGGAATTAATTTATTGAAAACAGAGAAAAACCCGCGTCAAATCCTTTTTCCTATGTCATTGTTTGGGTGATGTGTTGGGTTCTTATCGAAAAATTCATCATGGGTTCTTATCGAAAAATTCATCATGGGTATTAGTCCATGTATTAGTCGACGAATTTCTCAAAAAATTAACTTGGTTCAAAATGAAAGGTATGGTCATGATAATTCATCCTTTCGCATTAAAAGTTCATACTTTTATGATTTAACCCCTGTTTCCATGAATTTCCGAATAAGGTTATTTTCAAAATTGAAAAGTTCTTAGAACTCCCAATGTAAGGGTTTCGTTTTGCTAAAATTGTCACTTTTATAGCATACTTGTTTTTGGATGTTTTGCGAAACCAAAAAAAAAACTATGATATACAATGTGTGTGTAAAGAAAATACTTTATTTACTAGTTAAAAAATCATTTGGTATTGATCAAGTTATTTTTTCTGGATAAGATATTATATGGATAATTGGATAGAAAATACAATTATATAATCTTGTACCTGGTTTAATTAAGCTAATTGTCATCAGAAACTTGTAATTTTTATGAATTTCAGATTTTCTTTTCATTACTGCTTTTCTTAATAGGTCAAGTTCTTATTTAAAAAAAAAAAAAAAAAAAAAAAAAAAAAAAAAAGAAAGGTAGTGGGGCCTCCAGGCGCGTTGCGCCCTCTAGCCCTGAAGTTTTTTTTTCTTGGGATGGGCCTCCAGGCACTTCGTGCCCTCTAGCCCATAAAAAATTTTTGAGAGTCGTCGCCGTTGACTTTTTTTGTAGAGCACTCAAAATAGTATAACTTTGTCCGGACAAGTAAGGGTCTATCGTCGCTACAGGAAAAGTTACGGGCGTTCCAAGGAAGTATACTTTGAGAAGACTTTCCCCCTTATAGAATGAGATAGGACCGTTATTTTACAAAACTGACAACACTTTGACCGAGTAGTTTTTTGTGCTGAACAAAAAGTGTCATATAAACATCTGTCGAAAACCGCTTTTTAACTTCACTTAAAATGCCACATAAGCTACGTAAGAATATACGTAAGAGGAAGAGAGCATTGAAACATCCAATAGTAAAACTGACACCACAACAACAGTTGCAACAACAAATGCTGAATGACCCCACTATGTTGCAACAAATGTCAAGCAACCCTATGCTCTTAAACCGAGTTCTTGGTGCACAGAGTGGAGGTTTAAGAGCAGCACTTTTAGCGAAAATGGCAGGCTATGGTGGAGCTGCAGACGGAACAGCCTATAACCCTCAAAGTCAAATGAATTTGAGTTCACTCAAAAATCAAATATCAGATGTCAAAAAGTCAAACATAGACATACAGAAGCAAATAAGTGAAAACGAAAAGAAACTAGAATATGACAGACACACAAAGAAACTCAATGAGTTAAACGTAGAGAAAAAGAAGAAAGAAGAACAACTGAAAGAACTAAGTACAGAGGAATATGCGAAAAAAGTGTCAGAAAAAGCAGCAGAAGTAGCAAAAATGGAACAAGATGTCATAAATTTGAAAAACCATACTACTCAATATAAAGTACTGAAAGATGAAGAGATAAAACAAAAAGCCCTGAAGACATATATGGATAGCGATGAGTATAAAAAAGAAGTTGAAGCAAATGTAGTTAGTATCCCTAAGTCGTGTACGGTGGCACTGCGCGCTCCTTACCCATTATATATGAATTTGACACTTTACGAAACCGTTAATGTATATTTTACAACACAAACGACAACACCAACTTAACCTTAAATATTTGCAAAACCGTCTGACACATAAATGACTTCACTAATGACTTCACTAACGAACTCACTAACGAATTCACTACCGTCCTCACTAAATAAAAAATAACCTTATTTTTATTTTTTTTTTAAAATTTTTTATTTCATTACAAAGACATGTCCGACTACATTTACTATGACTCTTTCCCAGAACGTTTCCGTGAACTATTCAAGACCCAAGTAAAACTGAGAAACATGCATTTTAACAAAGATAGACCCATTGACGATGAAAGAAACCCTGAATATATTACAATCCCTTATGACGCAAAGTTCATTGCATACATTCCTTATGGTCGCAGAGGAACGAAAACTATTTCAACAAAGAACAAAAATTATTTCTGGAGCGATGAAGAAAATTGCCTTATCTACATAAATGCATACTTAAATAAAGCTACATATTGTACAAAAGAAGGTTGGACTGGATTTGAGCTCTACATATACGACGACGATGGAAACAGACGCTGTGTATACCCATACGATAATATGTACCATTGTTTTCATCAAGCATTAAACGAATACATAGTCAGTAAGGGTCTCATTCCTGCTGAGTAGAAATGTTATATTTTTGTTCTGTCATTTATATAAAAATAAACTTAAAAAATAATGATATCACTACCTTCACACGTATGAAAACATAGCACAAAAATAAATTTAGGTGAAGTGGTGAGATCTCACCTCTTTTTTCACCTCTTTTTTCACCTTGTTGAATTCATTGCTTTATAACTCTCTTCCTTTCTCCAACTCTTCTAACTTCTTCCTAAGTTCAGCAATGTTGTCCTCATGAAGTTTAATCTTTCTCAAAATTCCTTCTTTATCTAATGGTTGCTTTATCTTTCTAAACTGAACTCTACCATCCTTCATAGTATGAATGTAAAAACCTTCTGGAATAGTTCCTGATTTAATGTATTCTACCAAAAACTTTTGTTTCATTGCTTCAGTGACTTTATTTGTCATTTTACTCTAAGGTGAAGCTAGCACAGCGATAATGGATTTCATGACTTTTTAGTATTTCATGCAATCTTAACAGATAGCCTTACAAGTACTTCCAGTGTCCCTAGCTGTCCCTCCTTTTTATATAACTCCATGACATTTATAATCTCGCGAAACTTAACAGGTAGCATAACAGATTAAAATCAGATGAGGTTTTGAACCAAAATTTCTAAGCAACGTTGTCAAGGATTTTGAGGAACTAGGGACAGAGTGTGGCAAAGTCCAAGATTTAATTTATCTTCATCTGTTTCATCAGCTATCTCATCTAATATGCCAATATTTTATTCATAACTCGTGGCAAACTCACTAACTTTCATTATGTTCATCTGCATGCTTCATCTGATAGAAAGTATGACTTTCATTAACTCTGTGAGATAATGAAAACTACTAGGGACAGAGACCATGGCAAAGTTTATGACTTTCATTATTTCCAGAACTTAATGAAAACTACTAGGGACAGAGACCATGGCAAAGTTCATGATTTAATTTATTCTCTCACTAACAACAAATACAAAACTCCAACACTAACGACAAAAATAAATGTCCTCACTTCTTAACAAAGTAATATGTGCTTCTTACACCACCATAGCTCAAACGTTTCTTTTCAAACATCGATTGAAACTTATTTTGAGCCACTGGCTTTAGTCTCTTTTTCTTCAAATACGCCAAGAAATCTTCTTCACATCTTTTCACTTCATAGCCTTCTTTAAACTCCTCCTTGTTAAGTTCTATGAAATCCTTTATCTCATTCTTTGTTGCAATGGCTTCTTCACGAACGACATCATGAACGATTTCAACTGTTCTCATGTATGACCTCCTCACTGTTCTCATGAACTATTTCATCATTGTTCTCATGAACGACCTCCTCACTGTTCTCATGAACTATTTCATCACTGTTCTCATGAACGACCTCCTCACTGTCTTTCATAAGCGTTTCAAAGTCTCCTTTACTCATTACTTCAATCTCATGCTGTTCACAATAGTACTTAAACTCACTGTATATGTCTTTGTTGTATGTTATATTGCTTCCCATGTACTCCATGAATTTTTCAAGCACTTCCTCATAATTCACTGTTTCTTTCTTTCCACGACCTTCTAATATCATACTTGCTTCGTAAATATAACTTCTTGCAGAACCGTCTCGCTTTCTACTTCTTTTCACAAATTCTCTCATCTTGCCACCAAATACATTTGAACTACATGCAAAGAATTCATTCTCCTTCGCAAATTCTTTATATCTTCTGTAGCACTCTGTACAATTCCATCCGGATACAAACTTTTCATAGAACTCCTCGTAAAACATTTGGTAAGGTGTTTTGTTCATTTCGATGAGTTCTTGTTTAGCCCTGGTGAATGGTATCTTCCTTACATCAAATTCACTTAAATCTTTCCTCATGAAGTACGTCAGTAAGTTTGAATAAAACTCTTCATTAAAGCTTTCAATGAGATTTGAGAAATATTCGTAATTTCCTTTGTATCTGCTGCTTACGTCAATGACAACAAATCTTCTGTCGTCTTTGTCAATCTTTACTGAGTTGAAGTTGTTAGATATCATGATGATATTACAAACATTCTCTATCTTTCTTACTGGCTGACACTTCTGATTTAAGTCCAACTGAGTCTCTGTTACTATTGACTTTAGTGCGTCGTGGTTCATGACCTTAGACGTATCGCATGAGCTTAGTTCATTGCATACGATGAGCTTCATGTTCTCAATAGCAGCATTGAATCTACCAACCACATTCTCTATTGCCGTTATATTATTGTTGGCGTACTTGCTAATGAGCTCGCATAGAACATTACTAAGTACATTCTTACCAGTTCCTTGCTTTCCTATTAACAAAAGTACTGTTCCAGTCTTTCCACAAGGATTTTGAACGATGTAGGCGAACCAGTTCAAAACATACTCATAAAGCTCTTCATCCTCATTACATATGACATCGTGAACATGTTTCAAATATCCTTCAATAACGCTTTCATCTACTTCATTCAGTACCTCATACTCATATCCTCTGAAATAGCTGTAAATGTCATCTCTTTCGTCAAAGAATCTCATGCCTGACTTCATAAGATAGTTCTTGTTCTGACCCGCTTCATAAATCATCAGTGCGTTCACATCCTTCTCCTCAATACGTCCTACATAAACACTCTTCATGAGCTTATTGAATTCCTTGCTATCTACTGACACAAGTGTTGTTGTGTCTCGTATTCCATCATAATCTTTCACTAGATATGTCATACGTGCTCCGTCAATAACGACAACACATCTTCTTAAGTCATTTATAACACTAACTATGTCAATACCTTCTTCACTCATGTACTTATTTCTTCTCAAGTCCTTTAGTGTGAAAGTGTCTCTAAGTTCTATTTCAAGCAATTCATTTACATGTCCTTTGCAATACTTCTCTATAAAATATTTCTGTCGTTCTTTACTAAGTTTCTTAACAGCTCTGAAGAACCATGTGTTTTGACTCAAACATCCTTCACAACTTCTCTCATTCATTCCTAGTTCTTTCATGTCATTATCTTCAACCTCTATGGTCTCATTGACTAAGGTCAAAGGGTTCTTAGTCATTGCTGGTCTTAACTATCGAAAACTTCATATAAACTTTACAAAAACAGGTGCTGCTTATGTTTGTATGATAGATACAGAAAACAAGAGAGTAATCTTATGCATAAACAAATTCAAACGCTTGTACGGCTTCATGTAGGACAAACATTATTTTTCAACACTAACGCCAACACGTAGGACAAACATTCATGACTAACATTACTGTATAACATAAATGTTTTGTCATGATTTCTTCATCGTATATGTTTTGTCATGACTTCATCGTAATGAACGTATATTCTTTGTCAAACATGAACGTAAATGATTTGTCATGATTTAATCGTACATGTTTTGTCGAAACTTCTTCATCGTAATGAACGTATATTCTTTGTCAAACATGAACGTAAATGATTTGTCGAAACTTCTTCATCGTACATGTTTTGTCATGATTTCTTCGTTTATGTTTTGTCGAAACTTCTTCATTGTAATGAGCGTACATGTTTTGTCGAAACTTCTTCATTGTAATGAGCGTACATGTTTTGTCGAAACTTCTTCATCGTAATGAACGTATATTCTTTGTCAAACATGAACGTAAATGATTTGTCGAAACTTCTTCATCGTACATGTTTTGTCATGATTTCTTCGTTTATGTTTTGTCGAAACTTCTTCATTGTAATGAGCGTACATGTTTTGTCGAAACTTCTTCATTGTAATGAGCGTACATGTTTTGTCGAAACTTCTTCATTGTAATGAACGTATATTCTTTGTCAAACATGAACGTAAATGATTTGTCGAAACTTCTTCATCGTACATGTTTTGTCATGATTTCTTCGTTTATGTTTTGTCGAAACTTCTTCATTGTAATGAGCGTACATGTTTTGTCGAAACTTCTTCATTGTAATGAGCGTACATGTTTTGTCGAAACTTCTTCATTGTAATGAGCGTACATGTTTTGTCGAAACTTCTTCATCGTAATGAACGTATATTCTTTGTCAAACATGAACGTAAATGATTTGTCGAAACTTCTTCATCGTACATGTTTTGTCATGATTTCTTCTTTATGTTTTGTCGAAACTTCTTCATTGTAATGAGCGTACATGTTTTGTCGAAACTTCTTCATTGTAATGAGCGTACATGTTTTGTCGAAACTTCTTCATCGTAATGAACGTATATTCTTTGTCAAACATGAACGTAAATGATTTGTCGAAACTTCTTCATCGTACATGTTTTGTCATGATTTCTTCGTTTATGTTTTGTCGAAACTTCTTCATTGTAATGAGCGTACATGTTTTGTCGAAACTTCTTCATTGTAATGAGCGTACATGTTTTGTCGAAACTTCTTCATCGTAATGAACGTATATTCTTTGTCAAACATGAACGTAAATGATTTGTCGAAACTTCTTCATCGTACATGTTTTGTCATG